GGAGTTTCCCATGTTAACCTTACGAGTGTTAATATCTAAAAGCAATTTACAAAAATTGTTGCTGTCTCGACTAAACAAGTGGGTTCTATGATATTAATTTTTTTTCTGTAGCTGTATTTTCTTTGTCAAATTCTGGAAGTCCTCACTTTTCTACAGTCAAATTATTTTCAATTTCATACCGCAACCAACCACTCATGCCTTATTCATAATAACTGCAGTGTAAAACTTCCAGCTCATTCGACTACCTTCATTAAAAGAGTATTCGAACATTAAAATGAATTTAGGGTGATCGAATATTAAATTTTTTTATTTTATTTTGATACAATCCTTTAGTGAAATGAGTCCATCGCACAAGCTTTATTTGACAATGACAAACGCGAATATGACATTGTGGCCTGTAGCAATAATACGCTGCCGAGTCCCGTCAATTATTGGCGATGGATACATATAATTGGAAATCCTCAAATATGACGCCTCACTAACCTCATAACCATATTGTTTTTGTTTGTGTTTTTGCAGATACTAATTACTTATGTTTTGTATTTGTAATTAAGCAAATTTATTATTCAATCAGGTTTTGAATGCGTTCGATAAAGGACTACCGTTAAATATAACGATAAAGTTTAGGCTATTAATGTAAATAATAATAAAAAAAAACTTGTTTTCATATTTTTTAAAAATTTTAGAAACAATTAGGCCTAATTGATTTTTTAAAGTTCTAGAACAGCTGTCCAAAATTATTCACTAGCTTAGGTGCTTAAATCACCTTGAGTTTTGAGCAGGTAACAAGAGAAAATCTTAATATTTTGAATGTTATGTCTCAGATAAGAAAAATATACTACCATGGTACGAATATTTAAATTTAACCGGTTTTATTCGTATCGTAAACATTTAGCTTGTTATAGTTACTCTCTGTAAACTATTTAACGAAAATATTTACGGTATAATGTTACCGAAAACTATGAACAACTTTGACTTGAAAAGGGGTCTGTTATAAAACATAAAACTAATTAGTAATAAAATATTGTAAAGGTTATACATAAGTTTTAGTTTTTTTCGCGTGTAAAAATACAAAATATTTGAACGATACAGTGTTTTGTAACAAATATTCAACCTGTATACTATAGAAAGATGGATAAATCGATTTATTCAATCGTTAAACATCATACAATCTGCATATATAATGTCAAATGTGTATAGCAAGCTAAGAAATCAAAAGATACAAACAATAGAAGGTTTACATGCAAGATGTTTAAGTATAAAAAATGTGACATTGCTTTATAAAAACATAGGATATATGAGACAAAAAATACTGAATGTATTTATTGAGTTCGATTTTCTACCACCAAACTTGCCTCTAGTTTAATATATACTAACAATATTATTCAGTATATATTTGATGAATAAATTGAAATTGTAACGTAAATTATTTTGCAATTTTTTAAGCTAATTGTTAGCAACGACAAGTAATTGGGTCAAAAACACAAACACAATTCCTTTATTGAACTATTTGTGTATCATTCAATCTATTTATGATCCTGTTGACTTTTCTCCATTGGCCTGTTAGGATTCATTGAACGACAATTAAATTTTACATCTTTACAAGAATAAATAATGTTCAATATAATTCCTACATTATGATATGAGTACTCATTCCCCAACAAATATACTATAGCTATACTAACAAGCTTAAAAAATGCATCAAAATAAACGGTCAAATAATAAGTTACGGCTTTCCATTATGGGACCCCCACCCCCCGGAGGGGGCGATTGGGAAGAATTCGTATATTTTTCCCTTTAGTCCCAATAAACTTTTAAACATGAGTATAAGAAAACAAGGTAATTTGACCTTTTTGGTTTTTTAGGTAAATACCCCCCTTAATTTAGCAAGGTGATAAAATAAAAAAAAAACATATTATTCAATAGTGTAAGCGATAAATCTAGGCGTGGTGGTTAAATATATCCCGGTTTTTATCATAGATTGCCCATATCAGATGCAAGTATTTTCCATAACTACCATACTTTATTTAGCTGGTATTTTACTGCTTTCATAGCTTTTTCACGTATATTTAAGGAAACCAATGCATACAAATGCGTTCTGTTTTGTTTTCGGAACAAATTACATTTGCAACACACAATTTCTAAAGGTTCGGTATGACAACAACACACGTTCATATTTGCATCAACTCTTTCCCTGAGGCAAAGTTTTGTTTGCATCAGTTATTGGTAGAAATAGACCAAATGCGAATGTATGCAGACTTATACAGAATTATAAATAGATACTTAAACACACTTAAGCTCTGACAGTCAAATTTGTTTTCAATTTAAAAAACTTAACTGAGCTAAGGAATGTGTATGATATTTGTTTATCTTTTTTTATTCTCGTATTCTCGTATAATATTCGGATAATGATAATTTGTATAGGTTTAAGTAAATGCAAAAGATTAAATAAAAGAGGCATTTAATCATATCTCAAGTTACTCAATGAGATTTCTTTTCGTTCACTAATATAACCATAATTCTGGGACATTTTTTTGACAATCAAATGGTAACAAGGTAAATAAAACGAATATGTAAGGTCAGGCTCGCCAGTTTTGTAATGGGAAGTAAATGTATGTAAGCTTCACCAACAAAACTTCAGCCAACTATCGATCACAAAGTGAGGTTAATCAACAAATATGTGCTTCTGATTACATCAGTGATGACATATTTAGTGATTAATTTGTAGGTTTCGACAAACATACGAAATAATTGAATACATAACAGTAACTGGAGCGTTCAGTCAATCCTCTATAACATACAATAACTGTCAATGTTGTTGTAAATAGTTATTTGTGTAACTAGTGGTGAAAGTGGCACTTTGCTGCACACGAGAGCAATGTTTTTGAGCTTGTGCAGCAAAGGCCTTTTTCACTCGTGTTACACATTATATTTTTCCTACAGTCACTATAAAGCATATAAATAATTAGTCTTTCAAACACTATACAACACGTTTTTAGGTTCAGCTGGCAACACAAATGGTGCCCTAGAGAAAGTAGTACCCGCGGTCCGTATCACTCCGCTATTTTTCCTCGGCAAGAAATGTGCTCCGCGTTTTGAGAATATAGTTCCATATGTTTTTGTAATTTGAAGTGGTTTCCACGCCTTAAAAGAATGCTTTAAAGGTATTTTCTTGTTTATAAAGATCGTAGGAATGTTTTAAAAACGTTTAAAAGAAAAGTCCAAAAAGTTCAGAAATACCGAAACTATAAACACGAAATGACAGGTTAAATCGTAGTTATAATAGTCAATCAGCTGCTCATAGTATTATTATCTTTAAGTGTTGCCAACCTATTTCCAAGCATACACGGATTACGTGCATAATAGAACCACGCTGTTTTATGTTGTTTCGTTGGAATCCTGATGTGCGGCAAAGTATAAACCGTACGGCAAAGTATAAACCGTATGGCAAAGTATAAATATGCAGCAATTAGCAGCTTTCTGTACTATAAACAGTACAAGGAAGCCAACTTTGTCGGGTGACTGTAGGAAAAAGTATTAAATAGAATATTTCATCTTGCACAGTTAGACACTTTGAACAAATATTGTATACTGGTTTGTAATGAGTGTAGTCTGAACCCAGTTAAGCTTACGAAATTATTTTAAACTTGTAGTGTGCAATAGATTGACAGTTTTCTCTTAAAAGATCTCTTTATTAGAATATTTTTTGTTATTTATTTTAAAACAGTTTATTTTTCTCCTACCGTGACTAGGATTCGAGCATGGGTTATTGCGGCAACAGCCACAACGTAAAGCCCTAGGCACTAGACAAAGAGACTAACAAGGCTGTCTAGACATGACAATGACGATGATGACTAGAATTTGGTGCTTTGGGAAATTGTCTGACGTTTCAAAATAAAGCATCATGACAAGCTCAACTATTCGTCGTAATTCAACAGTGTTAATCTTAGCATCATAAGGATAAATTTCTTTTATAATATACCTAACTAAAATATCAATGGTACACACGAAGGATGCCTAAATACGTATTACAAAAACAGCTCGATATTACCAACATTGAGATTTATAAAATAAAAATGAAAATGTCGTGTAAGCCAATTCTTCTGCTATAAGAGTGATTTGGAATTTGCTGATAAAATTATAGCACAAAGATTTACATCTGTAAGATGATGTATCCTAGTCGAACAACATTATTGACGACAGACATATTTTCTTTGAATTCCTTTTCAAGTGGAAGCATTTTCTTGTTTCGTTTCTCAATGACGTATACAAATACCTAATGCATTTCTATCTCATATTATAAATCTTTCCAGGTCAGGTGCGATTCATAATATTAAATCAAATATACGTGTAACAAATTTATAAAATAACTTCTTATTGTCTATCTTATATAAAGAGTGAATCTCTTAAAGGTGTCTAGCATTGATTTTAAACAAACTGTTGGCCCATAATTTACGAAATCAATTTTTCTCCTAATAAAACCAACCCCAAAGAATAACGGAAACAGTATTTTTCATAAACAAGATGTACCATAACTCTAGAGATTCACCAGTTCGAATTTCACAACTGTCAAATGCACGCACAATATGTGATATTACAAGTTAACATTTTTTGAATACGAGTTTGACCGTGATCTAATGCAATTATAATTCGTACAATGCTTAAGATGTTTTCAATATATAATTGATTCTCAACTGTCATCAATACAATTATTTTTCTTTTGTTAAATGTGTTGCATGGAATATTATCTATTACACAATATTACAGTATGTTTTAAATCGCATTTTTCACATCAACAAACCTTTACCGTTAGTTGCTGTAATTGAAAGCTTAATGCTGCAGAAAACCATCAAGATCATGCAGATTATGATTCCTGGCAACAGCGACCTCGTTGCAACTGTTGGATTGAAACCAAAACAATTGAATGTCATCATCCTATGGGTTTTAAATGAATACACCAGCTATCGAACATGATTTGGTTATTAATTTATTAACAGTAATTAGTAGTTTTGGGAAGCACTATTATCTATAGCCCGATGAATAGCCTGCAGATGATGTTCCCTGGCGGCAGCAACCTCTTGAGTGTCTGCCAGGTATCCGGACTTGAGCACCACGGGCTTGGCAAGGGGTCCGTGGTAAGGCGCCACATGATGGGAGTGTCCATGGTCGGTGCCGTAGTCTGAGGTGTATCTACCACTGTAGTGGTCACCGTAGCCTCCCTGAGCCTTGGCCTTGGCTATGGTGGCGAAATACTCAGCCTTAGCAGCGGTCACCTCGTGAGTGTCTGCGATGTGTCCGTCATGCAGGACGTGTGGGATGGCGGTGGGACCGTGGTACCTGATGTCTCCATGATGGCCGTCATAAGAGCCACTGTATTCCTGGCCGTGACCGTATCCATAGTCTCCTCCGTAGTGAGATTCCTTGGCTAGAGCGGCGAGATGAGCGTTCTTGGCTGCTGCTACCTCATGGGTGTCTGCCAGGTAGCCGTTGTGGAGGACGACAGGCTTGGCGGTGGGTCCGTGGTAGTAGCTGCAGTACACACGGTTGATGTGCAGGGCAGCAATAAGGATTATTGGGGCCTATATAAACATGTTATTGGTGTAAAAAACAAAAGTAATTATTTAAATTTAATCGTTTTTTATTTTGATATTGAAGTTAATAAAAGAACAACACTAAATTTTTATGAGACGTTTCTTTTATTTACTTTCCGTAGATTTAACAACTCGTACAATGCTGATCAAGAGGGTATTTTATGTTAAGCAGTGAAGTCAGTCACTGTTTCTCGAATAAATAGTAGGCAAATATACAACCCACGAAATTATCAATATGCCAATAAACTACGATGATTCATAGATGATATCTTAAATGTTGTTTTAACCAAATTGTTGATGTAAAGCTCATAAAGGTTTTTGCTGTTTTATTTGATATTTTTAAGATGTTTAACTGTGCTACAAAGTATAACATTATTACGCAAGTGTAAAGTTTAGTATATACACACATTACTTGTGTGTACGCATTTGTACCTACTTATCCTTTTAATACTACTTTTAAACCAATAGTCCTTATAACTACATCAAGAAAAATAACTTCAAGACAAAGATTTGTTGTCTAATATTTAACAACATATTTAACAAGCTGCAATTTTAAAAACTTTAATATTATACATTTACTTTAAAAAATAGTGTGGTTTACTAATAGCAATATTTAGTATGATCATGCCTTGCAATATTTAAGTGCTCGAATTAACTCACCAAGGTCTTCATGTTGTGGTGAGATGATTATGTGTGCTCAGTCAGATCTCTGTCCTGTATATATATACTGTAGACTACCAACAGAGTGGGGTAATATCCTGGAAGGACAAAGGATGAATGTAACGTCATTTTGAAGTAACGAGAGGACAGTTATTGGAGATTAGTCTTGTTTCATTATTATCTTACAATGATACTTCTTTAACTGTGTACAGATGATCACAAATAATATTAAAGTTTATGTAGGAGTGAAACTTAGAAAAATGATAACTTTTTATATGTATATCAAACTAACAATAAACACATTAAAATTATGCTTTCACCGTTTTGTGAAAATCTTATTCATCATTGATTTTCATACTCCTCGTAACCGTTGGGTTTCTCGAAATGTCACTTTCTTATCATGTTACACCAATCATTTTAGTAAAAATACTTTGTAATAAGTTAAAAATAAAAAATAACTATTTTTTAAAACCTACCAAATAGTCATAAGAAGTTTTAATGTATGGCATTCAAGAAGTTTTTCAGACTTTAAAATCTATAGTAGCATAGGCCTACTTGTTTTAAGTCATTCGTTAAACGAGTTTTAGACTGTATTTATATTTTGTATTTATTGCGATAAACAGGGGGGGCACCAGCTTTACGTAAAGAATGTTAACAGAATGGATGACAGTGGCAAATAAAGGGGTTTTGGGTCAATCTGGCTTCTTATCTTTAGTCCACTCTGTCATAACATAGAAGGTTTTAATTAGAGAAGCACATATTACAGACTACAATATCAGGCTTTATTACCTTGCTTAAGTGTATCAGGTTAGCTTGATTGCCTCCCATACTTAGGACAAAAACTCGTTAAAGTATGATGTCAACATTTAAGCATTGACTATTGGATACAGAAGTATACAGTATAAAGTTGTTGTATTAATAGTCAAAGATTTAAGTCATCGCCAAAGGCTTAACATATTTAGGATACATTTTTATTCACTTGCCTAGTTACCTAAAGTAATAATTTTTAATGTCAATGTCTATGTGTACTTCTTATTGGATAATAAAATATTTTATTTTTTATTTTTACTCAACTATTTCTATATTTGCACGCAGATAACTTACAGCTTATAATTAATTTTATATATTTGTTTAATTACTTAAGCATTTCATTATAAACATGAGCATGAAGGTGGATTCAGCAACCAAAATTAAAGATGTGTGGTCGTCTGGATGAAGGATTGTTGAATCTATAATATAGAAATAGAGCTGTAATTATTGCAGAATATTTTTTTAAATCTACTTTGTAGTTCGCGTAGGACATCAAAATATTCGCTGTATAAATAGGCATGTAAAAGTAAAATAAAAACCTCAAACATCTTCGCGGAGCACTATGTATCTACAGTACTGTTCATACTGTCTACATACGGTACAGTATGCAGCAATTATCCTTCATTGTAAGCATATACTTACTTGGAATATAAATAGGTGATTTACACGTAAAGAGAATAACAATACAGGCTGTTCTTAACTGCTAGTGATCGAAAAGAAAGCAGCAATAGTTGTCTTTAATTAAAGAAAAATCAAACTAAGTTTTCAATAAAAATATCCCGAAATGTAAAACTATACATAACTAAAAATTGTATGCTTCTAAAGGTGATAATAAATCTGGTATAAAGGAGTCTAAAAGTATGCTTAGTCAAAGCAGAAGTGAGAAGATGTTCTACCGGCGTTTTTATTTCATTTCACAAATAAGATTTATAAGACTGTCTTTCTCAGCAGGGTGTATACCGTTCGAAAATACCTCTTGTTCGTTTAAAACTTTATGTATTCTTTTTAATATTTAAATTCCACTTACAATGAATATGCTTTAGAATAAAACTTATTAAATAAGAAAAACAGTCTAGCTAGATTTGTAGAGTTAATAAAATTTGACTTGACGAATTTCGTCTCTAACAATGCTCTAAATAAATACACTTTGAAAACCTCTCTCCATGTGAAATAACGGGGGTAATACTGAATCCTACCTGAATAAGGGTAATCTCCGAACTTTGCTTAAGTTCCACCAGATTCAATTTCAGAACGTTTACTTTCGATAGCGACTCACTGTTAAGCATGAAAGTTGTTTTAGACTTCCACTTGCACTTAGCCTAATATATTATGTATTATTAAAAAGACACGTCAAATGAGATAGTTTCATCAGAGTTTGTTAACCTAACAATCCATATTTATTTTCGAGGTCCATCCATAAGTTTATATTATAATATTACAACAAAACCTATCGCATTGGCACAAAATTAAAACAAAAGACCCATCACTTGATAAAATATCGAGACCATCAAAACAAAGCTATATTTTAAATTAACTCTTATTGTTACTATTTTTATGAACTTAAGAAATGTGATGCGTGTCTATTGAAAGTCGTTATTTTTCCATGGGAAATGTATATGCAAACATTTTCTAAAACCTGCCGGATTGAATAATCAAACCGAAAAGCAAATTTATAAATAGTACTCATATTATATTTGCGAATTTTAAATTAGGTTTTGCTGATGGTTTTCTTATGGAAAAATAATCATGCAAATTATTCTATCCTCCTAAATTAAGTTAAAAGCTAATTTTTCCCGTGTCCAGTTAAATTTAAGTTGAAGTGGCAACTGATTTTATTTTGCTTCATGACCAATAAGTATATAGCGACTTAGATTTCAGTAAAGATATCTGGAGTCGAGTAATCACTCTTAAATTATCCTGTAACAATACCGTAAGAAAACAAACCCAAACTTATAATATAAATGATATCAGCAAATTAAAATAACAGACCTCCGTAATAATAATATACCTATATTCACCTATTGAAATCAGTGAAACATTAAAGGAATTCCAACACTTGCAGACATCTTACCAGGATATTAGCACATACTGTTGGTAGTCTACAGTATATATACAGGACAGAGCTCTAAATGAGCACATGTCATCATCACACTACAACATGAACACTCTGGTGAGTAAAGAAACATGTTTATTTAACTCAAGGTAATTTGTTAAATTAGGTGTAGCAATACCTAAATTATTGTGTTAATATAGTTTGACATTCATTTTGTTAAAAGTAAGTTAAAATTATAATACAAGAAAACGCCAGACAAACCGACTAGATGGTTGGCAAAAATTTGATGTTATTATTTAATATAAACAATGTTGGTACCTGTGTATATTCTATTAAAACAATTGATGTTTTTAGGCATCCTTTGTTCTTTTTGCTACTTTGAATACCCAAAGTGTATACTGCAGCTACTACCATGGACCTACCGCCAAGCCTGTCGTCCTCCACAACGGCTACCTGGCAGACACCCATGAGGTAGCAGCAGCCAAGAACGCTCATCTCGCCGCTCTAGCCAAGGAATCTCACTACGGAGGAGACTACAGATACGGTCACGGCCAGGAATACAGTGGCTCTTATGGTGGATATCATGGAGACATCAGATACCACGGACCCATCGCCAAGCCTGTCGTACTCCACAACGGCTACCTGGCAGACACCCATGAGGTAGCAGCAGCCAAGAACGCTCATCTCGCCGCTCTAGCCAAGGAATCTCACTACGGAGGAGACTACGGATACAGTCACGGCCAGGAATACAGTGGATCTTACATGTATGACGACCATCATGAAGACACCAGGTACCACGGTCCCACCGCCATCCCACACGTCCTGCATGACGGACACATTGCAGACACTCACGAGGTGGCCGCTGCTAAGGCTGAGCATTTCGCCGCCGTAGCCAAGGCTAAGGCTCACGGAGGCTACGGTGACCACTACAGTGGCAGATACGCCTCAGACTACGGCACCGACCATGGACACTCCCATCATGTGGTGTCTTACCACGGACCCCTCGCCAAGCCCGTGGTGCTCAAGTCCGGATACCTGGCAGACACTCACGAGGTCGCTGCCGCCAGGGAACATCATCAGCAGGCTATTCATCAGGCTGTAGATAATGTTCCTTACAAAAATGCCTACTGATTGACATATTCCTTGAAATAAATAAATAAATCCTCTGATGATTGTCGTATTAATTTTAAGGCCATAGGATTTTATTTTTGTATGTTACCATGTATATTATGTGTATTTAATTGAAAAATCTTATGAATATCAGTGTAATACATTTTTGTGGTATAATTATTCATTATTCTTATCTAAAAACATTTAACATTACACACTATTTAATATAATACACCAATAAAGAGGGACATTTTAAAGTTCTGTTGCATGACGTGAAAATTGTGTTAATTTATTTAATGGGTAAGCAGTGAAATGATGGTTGGAAAGTATGCATTATCATATATGATCTGTAGCACAATAATAATACTACAGAATGAACAGAAAAAATGTTTCGTCAATTATTAGTTGCAATTTCACTTACATTGCCTGGTTTAATATTAATAATCAAAGCTTAGTAATTAATCGGAGGTCATCGGTATATTGGTTAAGTATTTTCAATTGCTCTTGTTCAAATATTAAATTATTATGAAGAAGTGACAAAGGAAACATAGCGTTGCTACACTTTGAAGTTCTTATAGAGGAATTGCCGGTAGTTAAGCAGCTGATGTCAAGAATGTAAGTTTGGTATTTTACTCGAGTAAACATGTTTCCAAAGATGTAACCTCAAAACTTGAATTCAGAATCAGTGTTAGTGTATCGTTTCAATGTCCTTGATATTTTAAAAAAATCTTTCAAAACTAAAAAAGTTGTTTCGTCACCTAAAATTAAGAAAATAAAGTTACTTATTCAATGGGACCAAAGTTATTAAGTTATTGCCAAAAAAAAAAAAAAAAAAAAAAAATACACAGGTATTGAAATAACAAATCAAATACAAATAATACTCGTAGTTGGTGCAATACTATGCGAATAGTGGTAAGGCCAAAATACTATTTGGTCCTACAACTGCTACCATAGTACATGATAGCACTAGGTTTAAGTGATTCTTGTCTGAGTGAATCGTGATGTATGAATATTTATATATTAAAAACTTAGTGCAGATTGTTTTTGTTATATGTACATTAAATATTGAAGAAAGCTATGTAACTACTTGAAAATAGGTGTAAAAGTAAGTGTTAAAGTTCATATTTGAATAGTACAATGCTCAAAAATAAATAATATTAAATAAAAAATCTTAAATTAAATATATTTAATGGAACTGAACTATTTCAACACTCAATGCAATCCTAATCTCAACACTTTGGGCCAAGTTACAATGACAAAATTTTGATCCAGATTCTAACATATGATATTGCAAATTAAAATAGATTCCTTAATGTAAAATGGCCGATTACACAAACATAAACATTGTTATTATCATGTTGTCTATTTCTATTCACTTACAGATCCTATACTTATGTTAAACCCAGCACTACGCATTTGCTCAAACTTCTCCAAAGTTTCAAATTAACTTCGTTCATAATGCAAAATGTTTATTTTGTGGATAGCCGGGATTCCGAGCACGTTTAGAGCTAATATAACTATTAGTGACGTTGATCTCTCTAGGCACCTCAGGCATGATTTAATTTGTAGAAAAAACTTGAATTGGAATCGGTTGTCAGCAGTTTGAATATTTAGAGTTACTTTTACATTTATGAATACTTTAAAACTTAGGTAGCTTGTATTTATGATAGCAATGAGGAACACAATTGAAAAAAATTAAACAGTGTGAATACAAAACTATACGGGTATATAATTATACTACCATATTTTGACTAAAACGAAGTTTTAACTTGATAAAATATATTAGATAGCGCAGGACGTAATAATCTTATAATTAATCCCTAAAGCAAAGCAAAGTCAACAATGTTTAAGATATGAAGCCAGAAACACAAACATCTAAGGATAGAAGTGTTAGTTCTATTTCAGTTTCTCAGTTGACTGTTATGATTAAAGCAATTTTATTTTATAACTTAACGGGTTTGCTGATAAGGTGTTTTTTATATTATAAAGGAGCATCGTAAAACATGTTTTGCGCCATTTTCTGATCCTATTTAATAAAAAATGGTTGTTTTTAATGAGTTCTATACATTTTACTTCCCATTTAGATGATTGGACCTGAATTCATTAGGAGAATCCATTACAATATGCGACACATTGTAAACAAATTAAATGTAAAAAAATAAAATTTGGTTCAGTAACATAAAGGTAAACTTAACTTCCGAATCCTTGAATTCTTGTAAGACATTTGAACTAGGCTCAGGGATGAACACTTATGTATTTAAAAATTATTTGAAGGAGTTTTGTGTCTTAACTTATTTTGGTTTATAACCAGGTTCTGCAGAGCTCGCTACGTTTTTTGATGATACCATACAATTAGTATGATACCGTTGGAACACAATACTATTTGCTATGAAATTCAAAACCCAAAAGACACCCTCATTTAACAAACAGTACAACCTTTTAATGGTTTCATAATTTAAGGATTCAAACAAACTTGTTGGTTGGTTTGTTGGTTGGTATTGGTCCTGGTTGGTTTTAAGGATTCAATACCAACAATATTCTATCAAAAAAGTATGAAAGGATTCCTGCCAGACTGAACGCTAGAAATAAAGGTAAGGTTATCAACTGAACGGTGGAAGTGGGGTGAAAGCAGGAAGTCCCTAACTAAAAACAGGTGTCAAACGCAAGAAGAGCTTTTATCTTGAATACTTTAAAATAAATTTTGAGTTGGGCCACTTTTAAGTCGACTGTTGGTTGCATAGTAAACTAGTAGCAAATTATATATATTTACTTTGGATTTTACGAACAAATGACGTCACTGCAACAATTGTACTCAAACGGGAACAGATGTTTTCTTGTAGACAATTTTCACCACCAATAAATGATTGTACTGATTCTACTTGAAGAATTCACTATAAATGTAGTAATACAATAATGGTTATCAAATAAATGTACCTACTTTGAATCAGTCAACGTCTAAAAATGTAGATATCATAATGAACTTGCATTGAAAATTGTTTGTGTGAAAAACTATGTTCTTAGTCGAATAAAGGTTTTATAGTTTAAATAAGTATAATTTTAAACTTCCATGTATCAATATGGTACGTATGACATTTGAATAATAATTAAAAAAGGTTAATAAATCTATTTCTGTTGTCTAAGTATTTCGGGTGTCTTGTTGTCTTTAAATATAAGAAAACTAAGAAAAGCATAACGCTTTTATGGGGTAGCCTTACGGTTGTTTAATAAGAGCCTTTGACTTTTACAAAGCTATAACAAAAAAATAAACTGTACAAAGAGCCTTCAGTGAGAATTAACGTTAGAAATACCAAATCCCTGCTGAATACAGGTAATCTTCAACCTTTGCTGGAGCTGCGACAGATCAATTCCAGAGTGTTTACTTTCGGTAACGACTTACTGTTTGTATATGAGAAGTTTTCCTCAAAGATATCATCTTAAGCATTGAAGGAAATTCATACTTTCATTGTAAAACACTGAATATTATTTCAGTTAAAAAACATGTACTTGTGGGTTATTATAAGATCTAATAGTTTTTATTATTTTTTAGAAATTATTTTATATTATTCTTTAGCTTAGATCTTTAAACAGTAATTATAATGAATAAAACTGGTTGTCCCTTTTACAGCTGGTATTATGTACAGCCGAAAGAATAATGTAAATCAAAGATGTCCAGGAAATTGAATAAACCCTGAGTAAACTCCACATTAAACTGTGTACATTTTTGAAATGCGAAATCTATAAGGGTTCAAAATGATTCTCGTAACAATGTTTGAAACAATGAAATTAAAACGGCACGTGACCAATATAATTAAAATATCATCATCATCATAAATTCTTTTATTGATTTTACCCTCAAGGGGTACATCAAATTGATTTGATTAAAAATATAGAATATATTCCTTTTAAACGTTTGGAATGTATTGGAACGTAAAGTTAAATAATCAAACACGTTTACACGTTTTGAAAAGGTTGTTTTAGACCAATATCTTTGTTACGATAATATTATCTTAACCGGGAGCAAGAAAGTAAGAAAGTATTTTTTTTTTATTGTAAAACCATTACTAGCACCAATTGACCTTCAAATCACTAATGATCGAATCGATAAAAAATTTCAAAAGCATAAAGTCGTATTAGTTTGATCATAAAACTTAAGCTGTGGTCACTTGCCACAACTGCTATTAAATTACATTAGCTACTGAGATAAACGAAACAAAATTAAATGCTTTATTTTCCATTAGGCAACTAATGTAACTTAACATACGTCATAGCTTGTTGCGTAAACATTCCACAATATAGAGTAGAAATCCATGTTATTGGATCACGTAGATACTCAGAAACTGGACAAAACTTTTAAAAATTTTTCAATTATTATCTGGGAAAAACTGTAATAAATATATAAAATATTAAGGATTAACATAAACAGGGACTTAATAAAAAAAAATACCGTTTCAGATTATCAAAGCTACAACAATTTAAGACATCTAGAACGTCTAGAAATAGTATGACATTATTTTTGAAAGGGGGGATTCTGTGTGCGGGGGGGGGGTTTAAGACGTAATTGGTCTCTATTTAACATTTTATAATAATTTACGACCATAACCAACTTACCTAATATTAGATGGAATAAAAGAATTATATTAATATTTATGAAATAATAATATACCACGACAATGTTCAAATAATAATCATTTAAATTAAGAATATTCTTTTAGTGCAAGATAACACTATACTATACACTACATATAACTATACAATTAATTTTTAATGGTATTTGAGGAGGGCAATCGACGCTACACGTTTTTAGTCTTGGAAGTCCTAACTTGGAAGATACTTGTAATCAATTTATCAACAGGAACGATGACGTCAATTACTAGCTCTAGTGTCAAATGGAAAGAAATTTAATTCTTATTTGTATATTGTTTTTAGATATTTGGAAATATATATTTAAAGGATCTTGCACATTAGTCATGAACACAATCCAGAATGGTATATTTCAAACTTTAAATTGGTGAGTCAAATGTTTTTATCAGAATATAACAGGGAATTTCAGTTTTTGATCGTTTTCAGTTGTGTTATTGGTATGTTTGAAAAGAGAAGGATATAAAAAAATATTTTAAAAAGTATTAAATTAAAATATGGAATTACTCTTAACTTGTAACAATAAAATGTTGTTCGTGAATTATTGATAAACAATGTATGCTGTAATATTCCTAGCGATTGAAATAGACTAATTTTGACTGCAGAAAACAAGAGACAAACACGACATAAAATTCGTATTATATATTTTGTAAACATAAAATTAAAATCTAAAAAAACTTTAAATTATAATTATTAAATTCCAAACACAATATTTATTTAACATTTAATTATTATTTAAAATATTTTAAAAATGTTCAAATAACCAGACGAAATGTTTGTATTCACAGTAATTAACTGTTATAGAAGCAGACACCAACATGACTGCAATCGTCATGTCACTAAATAGTCGACCCTCAAAATGGTCTTCTGTCCTTGATTGGTGTCACTAGAATTCTCTCATCCGCAGTAAAAGATTAAGTTTAAATGGTTTAAACTTACCAACAATCTTTTCCACATTCAGTGTGCGCACTTTCAATTTAGATTGATAACAACCGAACTATGCACAGTCCCCAGCTAATGTGGCCCTATCCCAGAAGCACGGCAGATTTCATCCTTTAAATATTTTACTAGTTGAGTTAGTATCTCTTTCTGGGGGTTTCTCATTACGAACTGTTGAACTTTGGGATAGATGAACGTATTTAATTTAAGTTTTTTCAGTCTCGTTTTCTTTTAATTTTTTATGGGATGCTTACTGCTTTGTAATATTTATTTTACTATAACTACGCCCACGTGACCTTAAGGTGACAAAACCGTATATTTGGCGAGACCATATACTATTATGTTCCTATTAAATATTGGTTCAATAATATTTTTAAATATTTTTATTTCTTGAAAACCCCCAATCTTGTTGTAAGATGAGAAAATAAAATCGGAAAATTTAATTCATAAACACATAAGAGGCTATAGAAATGGTTAAATAACAAACATAAAATTAATATGTTTAAAGTATTTTTAGTAATAAAAGGAGTTTATATATACCAAATGAACTTGAAAAATAATATTAGTTGAACTTTTGGTATGCCTTTGTAGTCTTAATGAACGAAACATATCACAACGAAATAAAAACTAATTATTTAGCATCATCTTGCAATAAAATTGTGATTTATAGACAGCATAAATTGTTGAATGGCATAAAATCAGGAAATATTATTTTATTCAGTTTGAAATTAAAGAAAAAAAAATTGATTTGTCCACCATAAGAGAAGGTTAATTGAAAGGGCATTCTAAAAATACCAAGGAGCTCTGTAAAGCTACAACTCTATTGGCAAATTCTTTGTAATTGAGTGGGACAAAGACGGACTCTAGATTGATGCTGGTCTAATTGGTTCTGCAAAGAAAACAAACTTTACAAATAATTAAATTAAATTATACCACAACACTAATTATTTGTTGTATATATTTCAAGTTTATTTTGATAAGCTAAATATTAAAGTCAGTTGTAAGATGTGGGTCAAAGGCGTCTAATCTACGTTGACATCCATGACATTACTATAAAACACTGTTCCAGCAATTGGGTGTAGTTCCCGTCACATTGGCCTGCTTTACATGCGGCTTAGGCCTATCGTACTACTTCTTACCGACCACACACCTGAGCAATATCCTTCTAACTTTTGAATAACATGGATAAACAGCTGGTTTGATTTTGTTTTTATGAATATTCTTTATATTTGGACTTATTTCCCTAAAAGCGTTTTTGTAATCACTTCAATGTCTCTCTTGAAAAATACCACCTAGGTGTATATATATATATAAAAAAAACTATTATTATACCGTCCGATGAACTGTGAACCAAGAAAAAATGTTTCAATTGCTGCATATTAAAATGCAATAAACTATTATATATTCTTGTCATCCTTAACGGTGCTCAAGTTTTCTTTATTTATTTACCTGACAGTGCCATTTTATGAATTAGAATCAACAAGTTAATTGCATCTATTTGTTTCATTTCTAAGATGGCCACGTTTAACATGATTCAACAGTAGGAACTATTTAAATTGTTTCTTGTAACTAACGCAAAACGTACCTAACCTATTTCCACCATAATGATCGAGTTATATATTTTAAATTGGGAATCTTGGGAACATGTACAAGGAAGATGAGTTGAGAATATAACTAAATAAAATGGCAGCTGAGTACAGCAATCAGTCTGCGGTTATTACAGATTATTTGACACAGCTGATTCTCAAGTGTTGAGAATTATCCTTCCCTAAGGTGGGTAGCTTAAAACAGATTTTATATTTATTACATTTAATGTTCTTAGCATTATTGTGTGTACTAAATTAAAAATTAAATTACAACCATAATGATTATTTTTTTCTCTTTTTTAAATTAAACAGACTAAATCTAACATAGTTTTGAAGCGTTCTACTATAAAGAAATACTTTTAAAAATTATAAAATTATTATCGTACAAGATAAAGGGTAGTGTACACTGTTTATCATGACATACAAATACACAGGGTCTTTCGAGGATATTCTACAAGTACAACATTATACAGTGTTTAAGCTTTTAGGGTTATGAAACAAACATGAAGATAAACATTCGTCGTTTAAAGACATCAAGTTTTACAGTTTTCTATAACCTCTATTTTTATCTTACAGGAAATGTAGTGTTCTTAGATCATGTAAGTGTGTATGTAAAATATAAGTGACTCAATATGAATTGATACACGTTATTATTCTGTGTTACTTATGATTTAAAGCAGTTTAATCATTAGTAGTCATGTGTTCAAAGAAGCATTTTGCCTTGTAAGTTCACGATAAATTATTAATCAAATAAAAAAATCTAGGATTCTTTTAGTACTTTAAAACAATGAAAGTGGTCAGGTATGATTTTGATTTTGTATAGGTAAAACATGTATTGACACATTAGCGCTGTTCTTACGCAAAATAATAATTAACAATAACATTACCAAGTTAATTGAAAGTACATCCGTTGAAAAGTCAACAATCCTGTACAAGTGTTTATATAGCTAATTATAGGTGAAGTTATTGAACTTGAATTTAAATAAGTTTATAACAAAAGCATTTAGCACCTTACTACTATAAACGGATTTCTCAGAAATTAAATAACAACCTTCTGATTGCCAGGTGATCACTATAACTATCCAGCTGTAGGTGGAAAACAAAATGTATTATCAATTGTAGTACAAAATAATTAATGAAGTGAAAAAAATAGTCACATACACGTCTTATATAATAGTTCAAAATATGTTTTTTATAAAAAAAAAATACTTTTTAGGCACCCAATTAAGCCAATTAAGCTTGGAAGGTTCCCTAGAACACAATACACATCTGTTACAATTAGAAAGACAGTACAGGAATGCAGACATCTGCCAGGATATTAGCCCATACTGCTCGTAGTCAGCAGTATATATACATAACAGAGCTCTGACTGTGTACAGATCGTCATCAAACAACAGAATGAACACTTTGGTGAGTAGGGCACAACTGTAGGTGATAGCATAGATTTAAGGAGTGTACCCTTTGATCTTAGGTAATAGGTTTCATTTCATAAAGAAAGGTTAATACTTGTAAACAAAGTTATAGTATTTTATTTTTTTGGAAATATGGCTTAAAGTTTTACTATGCTACAGATTTTGTAACAACCGCAAATGTAACTAAATGTTTAATAATGTATACCTGAAATTATTTGAAATAGGTCAGATTAAACTCCATAATTATTACGTTTTAAGTAATGCATCTGATCTGCACGGTTTTTATATTGGGAAACATTGGCTGCTGTTTAGTTGTGTTAGTATTAATATATTGAGACTGAATCAACTAATGTATATACTATATAACAATATATTCTATTTGTTCAGGCATCGTTAGTATTTTTGGTAGCTCTGTACACTAACAGCGTGTACTGCAGCTACTACAACGGACCAACCGCCAAGCCTGTCGTCCTCCACAACGGCTACCTGGCAGACACGCATGAGGTAGCAGCAGCAAAGAACGCTCATCTCGCCGCTCTAGTCAAGGAATCTCACTACGGAGGAGACTGCGGATACGGTACCGGCCAGGAATACAGTGGCTCTTATGATGGTCATCATGGAGACATTAGGTACCACGGAACCACCGCGATCCCACACGTCCTGTATGACGGACACATCGTAGACACTCACGAGGTGGCCGCTGCTAAGGCTGAGCATTTCGCCGCCGTAGCCAAGGCCAAGGTTTACGGAGGCTACGGTGACCACTACAGTGGCAGATACGCCTCAGACTACGGTGCCGACCATGGACACTCTCATCATGGGGCGCCTTACTACGGACCCCTCGCCAAGCCCGTGGTGCTCAAGTCCGGATACCTGGCAGACACTCACGAGGTCGCTGCCGCCAAGGAATATCATCTGCAGGCTATTCATAATGTTGTGCATCCCCTGGCATCCATCGTTTAATGATGAATTTTGCCATAATTTATAAAATAAATATATTTAAAAATCTGCTTTTGTCTTTGGTTTACGACATATTATTAGTGTTAATTTGTATTAAAAGTTTTAGAATTTTGTTTATTTTATTATATTGTATATGATATTGGTGAAGTATTGAACTGGTGAAATATCAAAATAAAATAAATTACTTTACTATACAGGGTGTCACCAAAAAAACAACTTAAAAATTTTGAAGTTCAATACAATCTATTGAGGCAACCATTGATCATTTTTGAAACTACTATATTATAGAGGAACTGATAATGTTTTTTTTTCAACATGATTTCTTTGTATCAGCTGAGCTGTTCTTGTCGCTCAAAGCTTAACGTAAAGTAAGGCAGACGTCATTAACTTCCAAAAAAATCTCAGTGTGTTGACAAACAAAATGTAATACAATTAATTTTTCCGTATGGGGGTTTGCCAAAGACCAAGTTTACAAGTCGAACTCTCCAATGTTGGAGAATTGAGATTTAAAATCAATGCAGACTTCAGCAACATCACTGATGAAATGCGACATGGTCAAGATAACCGCATTGACTGTCTTTTTGTCATCAATGGAAGCCATGTTGAAATTGTTTTAATAAACTTATATGTAAAACTAAAAAACTTAAGAAACTTTAAAAAACTTAAGAATATGTATGTGTTTAATACTTTACATTTAATACAATTTGTATAAGCCTGCTATTAAAATATTTAGACTGCAACAAAGTTGTTCAGTTTATTTTGAAACACAGTTGTTGGGTTTAAAAATTCGATAAAGCACAACCCGTTTAAATTACCCTGTACCTATAAAAATGTGACGTTAGAATAATGTCAATCAAATTTTAGTTGATTTTGATGATAAATATAAACCGTTTTAAAACACGTAATCGCTCTTGTTCGACTGTTGTAACCCAATTCTTTTTTAGGTTAATGAAGCATGGTAAGTTTAAGAGAGCTCATAAGTTACATTAAATTGTGCTTCTAAAAGTTTATGCAAAACAAGTAAATGAATATATATTTTTAATTATTAAGGGTATAAAAGTCTAAATCTAATTTTCGATACCTACAAAGGTTACGTTTAATAATAATGTGAGTTAGAGGTATTACAATATCGGAGGATTTGATAAAAAAAACCCGTGGTAAAAAAGGGTCAATGCTAAACTCTACACTATAATATAACATATTCATCCATAGTTAAGATCAGATATGTTTAAAGCAAACTCAACTTATTAAGCCCTGGAATGTTACAGACCTGGAAAATTATCAAGTTAAAGAATAAAACTGATTTAATTTCACAGAATATTTAACCTTGACCAACGTATGATCAATTACTAAAAAAATCGTTATATACTCCTCAATACCCATTAATACCTCTAACGAATCACTGATATCTACACCTGACATAGTAATTGATTCTTTGAGTTTTCAAAACCCTTAGGTCTATTAAATATAGTTCATATCGACAATAATGAGACTATATTAGTTTATTTCCACATACTCACAAACATCTATAGTCGGTATGTGTTATCAGCGATCACAAATACGATTTTCATAAGAGAAGAAATCTCTAATGGAAAATGACTAAGAACCATCATTCTGAGCACGTCTAGCTCTAATATAACTGAAGTGCGACTTTGATCTCTCCAGGCTCCTCAGGTATCATCTAATTTGTAGGGAATCTCTGCAGATGAAGTAATTATCATCATTTTATATATTTGTCAGTTTTTTATAGATTATTCATTTATGAATAAGTTGGTTAACCAGCTCAATGCAACTGTAGCAACGGGAATATTTCGAGTCTGTCACTCAAAAAAATTTAACATTTAAAAACTAAATAAATTAAAAATACATTTTTAACAATATAAATGTACGTAGAATGGAAAATTATTTGGTCGTTGAAATGTTACAATATTTTGTTTACGAAATATTAAAAATGTTACACGCTTGACCGTGTCTTTTCTCTGGCATTGAGAGAAGTCCTTACCTTTTGTGAGTGTACATTCTGCTAAGTGAAAACATGAACAAATCATGGATAATATATACCTGCAACTCTTTTTTGATTATTATTTATAATAGAAAGAGAACTTAATAAAAGGTTTACCAGCGCTATTTGGCTGAAACAGTTCAAAGCAGCATCCAATAAATTTTTTTTTTAATCATTAGAGAACACTGTGGCAAAAAAAATAAGAATTTTTAAAGAGGTTGGCGGCCTCTTTTAACCTTGCATTTGCCCGTCCACATAGATTAAAGATCACTAAATGCAGATTTTAGTGCATCACTAAATGTTACTTTAAAAGATCAAAGATTTATTATTTATTAGAAGACTGATTGTACTACAGGAAATATAAGCTATATATTAAGCCATGTAATCCTAAAAGAAACAGTGGGGACAGTATTCTATAAAAAAAAACTGAAAAAAACTGATGTAGGTTGTTACTGTGTGAGTCGTCCGAATTATTAAATAGTAACTCTAGTTCCTAGTGGAAGTTTAGTTAAAGTTGTATATAAATAAGTTTCCCTTAGATAAACTTCAGATGTCACTTTGGTGATCACATATGACTGAATTTACTTGTTTTCAGAATTCATTCATAATTTTAAAAACGTATTTTCTATCGGATAAAACATTATGCTTTAATTTAAAGTTTCGTGGGCAAAGCCACGTCGGAGTAGTCAGTGTACAATGTTACAAATCTAGTAATATTCAAGCATAGGAATACAACTTGAGGTTTATTTTTGAACATCCTGTATCAGCCCCTAAAGAAAAGGTCAAGTACTGTATTAAGAAAATAGCGTATATGGACATTACATTAGTAATTAGGTTGGAGACACAGCTGGCCCTCAGGGAAGGATCAGATTAATAATTATGTCTCGACCACATGAGTAACTGTCCTTACAGTCACTTGGCCTATGGGGTAACGTAATGAATTGTAGCGTAATAGAGTTACCATGGAATAAACCCATTGCTTTGTAAATAAAAAACCATCTACAATAACCTATTTTCATAAAATCATGATATATTGCATATATATATATATATATTTAATGGAGTAAATAATTAACATGGAGCAACGCCAATGATTAAGATATGCAGCGTGATCGCGAAAAAGTCAGGTATGAAGTGTATTATTCTGAAAGCGTTTTCCTTTTGCACATTTAGTTATTAACAATACTCTATAAGGAAATTTTGGCCTTTGATTATACAGGGCTAGTATAGCAAATAGAAAATCAATAATAGACCCTAATAATTACAGTAATGCAAAATATTTTAATTTATCCTAACGGAATGTTTAATTATGAGGCAACAAACCTATAGGTTTCTTTTTATAACCAAAATAAAATTGAGACTGTTTTATCTGAATCTCAAAGAATAGCAAATATTTATAAGTCGATGTGTAAAGCTTCTAAGATTCTATGTAACGTCAAGATAAAATGAACGATCAAGAATTGAAATACCAAACGAATATTTTAAGGCAGGGAGTAAGCAATTTACTATATTGCATTACCTGATTTATACAGTCCACACTTTAAATACTGAATTTAATACTACAATTTTAAAATATCACATAAACATTTATGTTGCATCAAAGTTCAATCATCAGAGATAACTGTTGTCTAATGAACAATCACGGCGACAGTCTTTTAACTCCATGATCCCAGCAGGTATTTACAAATATGAAATACTCCTTAAATATTACCCTTCACTGTAAATACAATGTACAAGAAGTTATCGTTCATACTATACTAAACTGTAGATAGATGCAAAAACTACCTTTTAAATGTCAGGATAAAACAATCAATTAAACATAAAAATGTTTCTTTTAATGCATAACACACCTACTGCAATTAGTAAAACGTCATTAGAACACCAACACTTGCAGACAACCCGACCGGATATTAGCCAACGATGTTAGTACAGTGTCTACAGTATATATATACAGGACAGAGCTCTGACTGAGTACAGATCATCATCATACTACAACATGAACACTCTGGTAAGTATAAACTAAAAAGCTACTGGCACGATTTTATCGTTAAGTTAGCTATTGGGTATAACATTTTAATTTTATAGAAGGAGAGCTAAAGTAAATAATGTAATTTTATGGATTTTATAGAACACGATTATAAAATTATATTTTTTAGAACATAAAATACTCACTTCAGTTTATGTAATTGAAACATTACTGAGTAGTATGTTTAGCACTACTGCTAAGGTGCCACATAATAACAACAATATCTTTTGTTTAGGTATCTTTAGTCATTGTAGCTGTCCTGTACACCCAGAGCGTGTACTGCAACTACTACCACGGTCCCGCCGCCAAGCCTGTCGTCCTCCACAACGGCTACTTAGCAGACACCCGTGAGGTAGCAGCAGCCAAGAACGCTCATCTCGCGGCTCTAGACAAGGAATCTCACTACGGAGGAGACTACGGATACGGTACCGGGCAGGAATATAGTGGCTCTTATGACGGCCATCATGGAGACATCAGGTACCACGGTCCCACCGCCATCCCACACGTCCTGCATGACGGACACATTGCAGACACTCACGAGGTGGTCGCTGCTAAGGCTGAGCATTTCGCCGCCGTAGCCAAGGCCAAGGCTCACAGAGGCTACGGTGACCACTACAGTGGCAGATACGTCTCAGACTACAGCGCCGACCATGGACAATTCTATCATGTGGCACCTTACCACGGACTCCTCGCCAAGCCCGTGGTGCTCAAGTCCGGATACCTGGCAGACACTCACGAGGTCGCTGCCGCCAGGGTACATCATCTGCAGGCTCTTCATAACTCGGTGCAACATAGGGATTACTTTCATGGTTTTTGATTAATTTGGTCCTAATTTATCAAATAAACCGACTATTAAACATCTGCACTGTCTAATCATTTAACTGATAGTATTATATTCCATTCTTGCTACTAAACCATCTGTTCCTTAGTTTTTCTTCAACACATGTTAGCTCACCTGTTATGATAAAAATATTGTTTGGACAACCTGTTGACTGCATTAACCAAAGAAAATGTAGAGCATTGTCTGATAAGACTTGCCTGGATCAGGTGATTAAATTGGTTTTACATTTACCTAGTTTACTGTTGAATGGTGCAAAGCTTATTGTACATGTGTATGGAAATAATAATTTAACTGCAACGATTAAGATAAATTAATGACAACTTATTGTCAAGGGGAAAGTCTCAGGATTCGAAATAAATAAACCAAACTCGTTATCAAACCCGTAATACTGTAATGTTACAGAAATTTTTATTTTTCAATTATTTGCTAACTTGAAGCTAAGTTAATACAGCGTAATAAAATAAAATAATCGTTGAACACAAACAGCTCCGATAAAAAGTGGGTTACTCCAACAGCTTCGTTCGAATTATTGCAGTTGACAGTTTATTATGAAGAATGTTGTTTTCTATTGTAAACTTATAAAATAAAAAAAACAAGGTTTAGTTCAAAAAGGTTATTAGAGTTACTGTAAAATAAAACCCTAAGCCTCATTGAATTTGCAAACTAAGCAGCTTTCTATCTGCCAAATTGGATTCTCAGAACATCCACAAAATATATACGTCTATTAAGTGGATACAGGAATGGAAAAGCTACACATTTTATAAAAAAAATATGCACACAAATTTTAATTGTGTTTTTATTATTAAATTCTTGAACTAAATTTAATTATTTCTTTTTGGGATCAATTGGTATTGTAACAGAAAATGCTAATCTAAAAATAAAAACAGCACAAAATGTTTTATAACAGTAACTGTAATGTAGTATAGTAGCTGTAAGAATTGTTGTTCAAAGTTCCAAGTAACAATATCAATTAATCCGTAATACAACTTTGCCAAGTTTTGCAGACTAGACATTTTTATCTTTGATCCAACGTTTGAGTTTTAGGATGTATTCTGTTCTTGGAACTTCCTGCTGACTTCCTTCCTTAACTAGAAGTTCATGTAAAACACTTAATTTAATAACTACTCTCTTCCTTAAAACAGAATTAATAACAGTTTAAGTCTTTTTATCATATCCGAAAGAATTGTTTTATGAACTTAATGCATTTGCTTCATATACTTAACCAAAGCCAGTATTCCAAAAATATTTATTAAAATATGGTTTTGCAATATATGTATAACTTAAGATTTAAAAATTTATCTTGATGTTTGTCTTCTTCTTTTACTGGTTTAACTGAATTAAGTGACTTATCTTGGAACATTTGTAATAGATGTAAATTAATACAAATCATTCCTTTTCATCTATTATGTTATTTATTCATAAATTTAAAATTATTTTTTTTATTTTAAGTACAAGAAAGATGTTCGTGAAAATGTCAAGTATGGGTATTTGCATGTATATTGAGGTAGACATTTATTGGAAACTAAGTATATGGAGAATACATTTAAAAGCATCTAAACGGTTTTGTAATAAATGGAAATCATATTATTCCCTTTTAGCAAAGAGTCTGCAGAAGTTATTTGGTAATGATATTTGAGCAGAGCAACAGATGCTGAGTATGAAAGTTGTTTTGAAGTGCCTAACTTGGAAGGAACTTGTAATTAATTTATCAACAGAAACTATCCTATGATGTCATCACCAGCTTTTAATGACTAAACGAATAAACGTTTATTTACATGAAGTGGGGTCTTGTTGGCTAAATGACTTAATATTTAAAGCATTATGCAATTAAATTTGGTAGTTTCTTACTTTCAACTTCATTATTTGAAATTGGGTTACATAATTATATAAGAAATTTATAAATAGGAACCAAACGTTCTTTTCAAAATCTAATTAAAAAAAAAAACTGGTTAAATTTATTTAAGAAAGTAATTTGGGTAGTAAATTAAGTAATCCTAATGAGAATTAATGTCCAGTATCATACTCACTCAGAATAAAATACTCTGTGCATTTAAATTTTTTTATAATATGTTTTGCCTACGTATCCGTAAAAATAAACATGACTTCTAACAACCTCTTACAACATTTTTTTTTTTATTGGACGCTTAAAATCCAGGATCATAAAACACATAAACTTACTGTCACTAGAGTTGAAACAAGTTTTAATTGTATTGGCATAAACTGACATGATTTCAAATGTTACTATTTTAAAATTTACAGATTTTTGCCGTGAGTCCTAGATAAGCTTAGATATTATTTCATGCTGGTTTATGACATCACTTGAAAACTACTAATATTATCTAACCAATAAATGTTAGATTGTTGGAAAAATATATTGTTGTGTAGCAGATGACTATAAATTCCTAAAATAGAAATATCCATAGATATAATTTAATATATACCACCCCAAAAGTGGAGCAAGTCTTGAAACTGAAAGGCCAGGCAGAAAATATCATTAACTTATTTCTCCGTTAAGTTGTAACTCAATTTATATACCATTATCTAGTAAACACAGCGGTGGACTTGATAATACAACAAGACATTGACAATTTTATGAATTAACATTTACAATCACATTTCTCAAATGAAGTCTACAATATAAGTAAATTTGCATTTCGAAAGACCTACTATCAAACACAGTTCAAGGATACTGGTTGAAGATGACCTCTCTTTATCGATCTCTGTACCAAACCCATAAAACACAGTTTAAGTAATGGGATGTTCTCCGCGTCACATTGACTTTCTTTACCAAGATATACGTTTATACTTCTCTTTATTGGGTACTTCTCTTTAAGCAGTTCCTAGCCAAGGTTATTTATTTGGATCGTTTGATGGTAACCATAGAATTTCATTTCACATAGTATTGGTTTTGGTTTATTTAAATGTGATATTTATCTATGTTAATAACGATAGTAGAATATAATTCACAAACTGGATACCACCTAACCTTATTCGTTGTGTACCATCAACGTCTGTAGCCCTGGATTTTGTTTTAGTTTTTACATTATACGACATAATACATTTGTATTTCAACAGTCTTATTTACTTTTTTAAATTAAAGAAATAGAACTTTTTCCATTTGTGTGTTTATGCTAATTGATTATTCGAACGGTTGAAAATGTGTCCTGTTTAGCTTCATACAAGTTTTACATGTGATAACATAGACAATATGTTCTTGCAAACTTGACTCACTGCCTAATACATATTGGAAGGTAAAATTTATACTCCCAAATAATTTAGCCAAACCTGTAGCGTATGTAATTCCAAGCCGAATAAAATAAATGCAATGATACAACTAATATTAAAACGGTGTTATTAATTCACCTTGCACCAATATTGATTGATGTGTAATAGATCGTGATGCCAAACTTTAGCTGGTTTAAGCTTTTATTTGAGTGAACAAATAATTGAACAAACAAGCCAATTACTATGAATCAGATCCACTCTCGATGTTTTTGGTTCCAGCGACCACAAAAGTGATTCCGTTGTGTTGTGGGTTTGTTAGCACAAAACATTTTGTCACATGAAAAACCAATGTTTAATTATCTCTCTAGATATTTTTCCTTAATTTATATTTATACATCATGTTTCTTTTCTACATTGCATCCTATAAAATAGGTTAGTATGTTAGTAATTGTATTTATAATTATTCGTGCTTATTGCGACTTATCACAATTTTTAAACGTCACTGTACAAATTAATTTTACTTAGCCGAACATTATTAAGTATATGCAGTTTTAAACAGGAATTCTACATTTCAATACCTATAGTGCTCTACTACTAAACCATAAGTTACTATACTCTTATCCCAAAGACTATAAACTACTTAATTGTTTAGTGATTTATTCTTTTGTAAAATGGTTACATTGAGCAAATGCCTGCATACCATTGCTTTATTAGGCATTTTCTACGATAAAATACTAGAAATAGCATTACTAAAATAATGTAATGTAATTATAATTTTGGTTGTTATAAATAAGTTGTATAAATAAGAACTGCCTTTCATCACGAGATGTATGGAATAATTATTGTATGTGTTAATCAATGATGTTTATCAAATCGAATGAAGCTATAGTTTAATATTTTTTTAACTCATTCCACTACAATTATTTCCAATCCCTGAAAATAGAGATAGTTAACGTATGGTAGGATGTTTATTTAATTTATATGCATTCTAAAATTTGCATTAAATACATACAGACAAGTTTTCGGAATCAATTGACGAACGATTCTATTTCGTTATGAAACATGCACCTGGTTAAAACCCCGAAATCCAAATAATCAAATATCTATACACTTATTATCGTTTCACTACACTTAAAATATTAGGTGTACGAAACATCACCATATAGTTTAAATCTTTTCATTTACGAAAAGTCAAATTTACCAAAAATATAAACTGTTCCCCCAAACACAAAATTTACCTTATGTAATTAGAAACACGTTATAAGAAATCCAACTCTTGCAGACATCCTGCCAGGAAATTGACACATAGTGTTGGTAGTCAACTGTATATATACACAGCAGAGCTCTGGCTGAGTACAGATCATCATCACACTACAACATGAACACCTGGGTGAGTGGAGCATAACTGTTATTTTTACATGCTTTAACATAGAGACCTTAGCGATATAACAATATCATTTCAAGTGGTTATCTTTTATTAATTGAACCAAAATAAGTTGAATTGAAATATTTTATCGTTTATTTATTAAATGTATGTGACAGTAACATTAAAAAAATGAGTGTCATATTGAAAGGGACTTCTCTTAATTTTATTCATTTAGTGTATTTTTGACCATGAAAGTGATTTTAACGCCAAGCACAAAATAATTGAAATGGAATAATATTTTTTGTTTGTAGGCTCCTTTAGTCCTTTTTGCTGCTTTGTACACCCAGAGCGTGTACTGCAACTACTACCACGGACCCACCGCCAAGCCTGTCGTCCTCCACAACGGCTATCT